GTGCATGGGAGTTGCTGACACTTAGAAATATGGCATAGAGTGTAATCATTTAGGAGAAACTCAGAGTGGAAGTGCAACTCCATATCGAAAGGAGCCGGGTGAGGTGGTTCAGGCCTCTTACTCAGATGGTGGCTGGATGAGGCATTCTGTGAATGTTCTACCAACAGGAGGTCCCGGGGCAGACCAAGGACATGCTGGGGAGATTATATGTCTCGACTGGCGTGGGAACACCTAGGTGCCTCCCCACATGGGCTGAAGGAGGTGACTGAGGAGAGGAAGATGTGAGTTTATTCACTTAAGATGCTGCTCAGCCCCTGATAATCAGGAGAAGATTAATGGGTAGAATATGATATAACAAACACTGGATGATATACATATATACTATATTAAACTGTAACATGAAAGAAAATGGAAAAAAATCAGAGGAAACCATGAAGCAAAGTACGATGCAATGTATTTGAATCCAATTTCCTACATTTGATCAGTTTCCTTTGATTTTACATTTAAAGTTGTACAAGTTGTACATGGGAAAATGTGATTACAATTATTATCATGCACGCAGTGTTGACTCATGAATAAATACAGTACATTTTCTAATAAGTGAAAAAATAAAAGGATACAACAGCAATACAAAGCGAAAATTACCAACAAAACAACAGTTAAACCAATTTTTTCTTTAGTCTCTTGAAACATTTTGTGGAGGCACAGTTTTTATTTTATATGAAAAGAATAATTCGGTGCTCCTACTTCTGATTGAAAACAGACCTAAAACAGTTTTTAATAATCTGAAAGCTTAAACGTTTACCCGTAGCGTTATTATTTGAATAGGGATACCACTCCTCAGCTTTCATTATTAATGTGTTTGATTCATGCATATACAGCAATAATCTGACCTTCTGATTATTTTCGATTGAAGCGTTCAGGAACATCTCAATAATCACTTCATCAACATTCATGATAAACAAACATCTGAGTAAATGTGATTCAGTAAAAACACACGATATGATAATAACCTCACTGTTGATCTTCATGTTAAGCTGACTTTAATGAGTCACAGCTAAATGAATTTCACTGTATAGGACACGCACCGCTTTTCACGGCCACAACTGTAGCTCCAGCTACAGCTCCCACTACAGCTCCCACTGCAGCTCCAATTGGGCCTCCTACAGCTCCAACACCTGCTCCAATAGCAACTTCAACAGCAAGTCCAACACCAGCTCCCAGACCAATACCAGGAATTGCTCCAGCAGCAGCCACAACGGCCTGGATGAACCAGTTGTCTTTCTCTGCCAGTCTCCGTGCTTCCTGGGATGTCATGCCTGGATTTTCCCTCAGAAGTCGGCCCATCTCCTCTTTTATGGCTTTCTCTGCCTCCAGGAATTTTTCATTGGTGTAGCAGCTTCCTCCGTTTCTCTGAACCATTGTGTTGATCTTCTCCAACAGCTCTCTGACCTGAGTGGGATCTTTCTTTCTGTTGTTAAAAACATGATATCTTCTCTGACACTGATCGAGGAAGTCATTGAGAGCTTTACTTTTATGGATAAATGTTTCTATGTTCATGTCGTCGGCCTCCAGGTTGTCTCCATGTGTGAACAAGGCCATAGTGTACTGTGCTGCTGTTTCTCCAAACACCTTCTGAAGGATTTTCACTGTTTCTTGTTCTTCTTTTGTGAATCTGCCAGCCTGGAGCACAACCAGGAACACATGAGGACCAGGAGCAACAAATGAGATTGATCTAGCGATCTCTCTTTTCACCTCCTTTTCAGTTTTGCTGGTGTCGAACAGACCCGGAGTATCAATGACAGCCAGCGCGTGACCACCAAATTCTCCCGTTTCCTTTCGACACTCTAACGTTACTGTGGAAGGAGATGTTGTGGATATAAAAGTTCTTGTTCCTAAGATGGTGTTTCCTGTTGCGCTCTTCCCAACTCCAGTTTTCCCAACGAGGACTATCCGGAACTTGGGTTCTTCCTCTTCTTCATCATCTGCCAAACAATGTTAAAAACATGACGCTGATGTTAATGTTGATCAGATGTGTACATCTGACATTTTCGTTCCATTTTCCTTTGGAAGGAAATGGTTCTTTTTTTTAAAACATCAGCACTTTAAAAAGTATGCTTTAGTTATCTGGAGCCTAAACAGTAGTAACAGACAGTACCAGGCTGCTGAGATGGATGAAGGAGAAGCAAAACCTTGCAATTGTGATGAATTTTGCAAGAAAGAACTGCAAGAACGTTATATTAATACGAACTTTTAAAACAGAAGTTACATAGAATTTACAGGAAGCAGAGGGTCTGTTTTACGTGTGGACCAATCCATCTAAAATCAACCTGTTTTTACAACATTAACATTATCGTGTTAAAATGTTTAATAACTGGATATTTACAATATGAAAAAGTTCAGCAATCCCATATTTCAGCACACACTAATAGAGATTGACAGACCACGTGACCTTCGCGCATTGCATGCTGGGACCTCGTGGCAAAACAATCCAAGTACCGCATCAAACGCAAGCATTTGCAGCACCGCAAAACGTTCATTCTCCGGTTCCAAAACCTTCTTCCGTTTTCTTTTCCCCCCAAAAAAGTTCTGTACAAAACGAAGGAGAACAATGCCGGTCCGTACAAAGACAGACTT